TATATATATATATATATATATATATATATATATATATATATGTTAGATTTTTATATATTTGAGAACACGCCATTATGTTACAGTCTTATATTACAAGACTTTATGGTATGCACCTTTATTTGGGGTTGAGCTGGACGGAACCTAAAGAACACCTTGGCATCCCTTTTTGTAAAACAGCATAGACAGGGAGTCAGCCTTTATCCACAGACTGATAGCTATGCTGAGGCTGTCATCCTGTCTTCATCTGCATTGTACACAAACCACACACACACACACACACACACAAACACACAGAGGTGGGGGGGAGGGAGGCTAGACTAGAGTACCTCTGTATGTACTCTGGAGGGTGAAACTGCCATCTCAGCATTGGATTTGAAGGTGAGGGAAACTTCTGAATAGAGCTAATAAGATATCAGAGACCCAATACCTTCAGAATCCAGTTTGGATTTTTTGTGTTTTTGTTGTTTTTAATTCTCAGCTTACATTTTGTTCATGAAAATATTCAGAGGGGAAGTTCTTGGAATCACCAAATTGAATAACTTCTATTCACAAGAATGGAAGTCATTCATCTTGCAGACATCTCCCACTCTTATTTCTGCACTTATGTTAATCCTTTACCTGACGATTACAGAAACCAAAATTCAGCCACTTACATGCCAAATTCTAATGATGTAATATCAGTTTTTTGGGGAGTGGGGAGAAGAGTAGGGAATATTAAGTATGGGAATAAGATAAATTCACCTCATTGGTGTTTTCTGTTCCTAATCACTGATTGATGGATTGACTTCAAAAACATGTACTGCCAAATATCCAGTTATGTACAAAGTATCCAATAATTAATTTTTGGAGCATTTTTCTCAGAATCCTCATATTGGTTGTAAATCATAAACTGTTAGTCACACAAAAGCAGACCTTTTCTGCACAGAAAATTTTGTCACATGACGTTCATACTAGCAAGACACCCAGCTTCTGCTCAGTAAGATTCTCCCATGGCAGTAGAAAACAGCATCACATAATTATTTTCTATTTTAGTCCTGAACATGGCAAATATCTCACATGAAGATACAGGAATTCTCCATATAAAAACATTCATGCGCTGGGCAATTCTGGTGCCTCTTTTCTGAATGAACAGTCAACATTTTTAAAAATGCTGTTTCCCTGTATCCCTGAAGTATTATTTATAAGCAGCTTATTGAAAAATTTACAAAACATCTGTACCACTAAATTTGGAATGTGAACAAATAACCCAGATAATCTTGTATTATTTTCATTCTTTCCTTGAATGCTTATGGTGTATTTAGCCGTTTGTTTATGAGAAAATACTAAAGATAGAAAAGGATGGATTATACTCACTACAGGAGCATGCCAGAATTCCCGACCACAGTTCTGAAGAATACAAGAAAATAATCATAATTCGTATTTGTGATAATATGTGAGCAGTTCTCTGGCCTGACTTGTTTCCTATTGCTGCTTACCTCTTTAAACTTACATCATGCTGTGATATACTGACAAAACTGGATTAATAAAGCAGTTTTATGTTGTCAAATTTAGGTTTTTTAAAACATTATTAATTGAGTACTACTTTGGTGTAATGGCTAAGACATCAGGCTAGAACCAGGAAACTGAGAGTTCTAGTCTTGCCTTAGGCACAAAGCCAGCTAAGTGATCTTGGGCCTTTCCCTCTCACTCAGCTCTAGGAATCAGTCAAAAGCAAACCCCCTTCTAAAAAACTTTGCCAAGAAAATGGCAGGGACTTCTCCATACAGCTACCAAGAGTTAACACTGATTCAAAGGCATTAAAACAAATCAAATTGGTACTTATTAACTCTGTCTTGTCTTTGTTTTTTTTAAATAGTCTTTTTTTAGCATATTGAAAATACATTTATTCTCACCGCTTAATATAGTTTTTCATTTGACAAAAGTATAAAATAAGATCAAATAAAACATTGGAAAAGAAACACACCTCTACTTCCAGCATAGCCTGGATTTGAACTCCACATCTTTGTCCTCTTTCTTTAAGGTCCTTTTCAAAGGGGTCCATCAAAATAATTAATTTCAAGCCTGGTGTTTGTTTTCTTTCTACATGTTCTAGCAGGACTCTGGCTTTTTCAAGTTTATCACAAACTACTATAGAAATATCAGCTAATAAGATAAATCAAATGATACGGGTAACTATATTAAAATACAAACACATTTTTATTTACAAATCACAAGCCATCTAAATTGTGTGACATTTATTCAAAGAAGAATATATATCAAGTCCTGAAAATTACAATCCTCTAATCGCCAATCACTGCAAATGTATACTTATTTCAATTGTGTATAAGGGGTACATAATTTTAAAATTTTGAATCAATACATTCCCAATTTCCCAGCCCTAGTTCTTTCTCCCTCTTGTCTGGATTATTCTAGCTTTAAAATAGTAAAATTTAGAAGGAACTTAAACTGAGGAATTGACTAATTCCTGAATCTATAAGCTGTAATCAAAATGAGCTTCAGAACTCATACTAAATTAAAACCAGTTCATAACTGTTGTGGTCTAAAATACTGGTTCATAGCTTAAATAATTCTTACCAAATTGTTGGGGGCAATATGCTGATGCTGTAAAGCAGTATATAAGTCTAAGTGGTAGTGCTATATTTTAAAGTCAGAAAAGAAATTGGCAAGTATTTCTGGTATCATATTAGTTGTGTGAATGGTTACAGAAATTACATTTTAATTTAACTATGTAAAACATAAGATATTTATCCCTAGATTATCAATCAGACTTTCTCAACCTGGTCTCTCCAAAGGTCATAATGATGCATAAACTTCAAAAGCTGCAGAAAAGGCTTAAAACGTAGAATTTTTAAACAGTTAATTCCCGTACTGGAAATCTCATCTGGATTTTAAGATCTAAATTTGATACCTGAACCTTAATTCTCTGCTATAATTCTAATTACATAGGCTTTTTTTAAAATGTAAAAAAAAATATTTTGAGTAAAATGATATTTCTTTAGATTTTAGAATAAGGACCTTTTCAGGGAAGAAAGAGAGAAAGAAAGCTACATGGTTTTCAGAATTCATGTGGTCCATGTAATTCTGCAGATATTAAATGCAGAGATGTAGTAAAATGGCAAATAGTAAAAATCCATACAGGGAAACCACAACCATGGAATAGGTATAGCAAGCCAGCTCAGAAATGATCCACTGGAAGAAGATGATAAAAGATATAAACAGGATGATCTTGATCCTTCTTCTAATATTTCATTGAGGAATCAAATTGAAAGGAACATTTGCTACTGAAATACATATTTTGAACAATCAGACTCCTGCTTAAGAAACCAAAAAGTATTTGAAGAATTTTTCAAACAAATCTATTCTCTTTACCTGTATTAATAATATAACGAATGGATCCAGGGCCTAATGTATCATACAGGGGAACCACAACCATGGAATAGGTATAGCAAGCCAGCTCAGAAATGATCCACTGGAAGAAGATGATAAAAGATATAAACAGGAAGAAATGTGAATACAACGAGTCTGGAAATAAGGTTACGCTTCTTGCAGTCTCACCTCTGGACGGTTTTGGGCAAAGACTCCAATAAATTGGTTTGGTGATGATTTGCATCCCTTTTGGAGTAAGCCTGATCCCAATGCTTCTGCTCTTTCAGCAACCTGAAAGTGGAAATAAAGCACATTGAATTGCCTGGTGGAATTCATTGAGACATTTCCACAAGCTATTTTTTTCCACTCCCTTTTGACTTAACACAAAATTGAGAATTGTATTATCAATTAATTTAGTTGTTTTCTAAACTCAAAGCAGTCCCAGCTTTACTTCTTTTTTAAGAAAGCACCTACCCCTCTGGTTTCCAATTACTTCATTTCTAGGTGATTTAGAGATGGACTGTATAACGGTATAGGTAGTCCTCAACTTACAGTCTCAATGGAGCCCAACATTTCTGTTGATAAGTGAATTTTGCCCCATTTTACAACCTTTTTTGCCACAGTTGTTAAGTGAATCACTGCAGCTGTTAAATTACGGTAGTAACATGGTTGTTAAGTGATTCTGGCTTCCTCATTGACTTTGCTTGTTAGAAGGTTGCAAAAGATGATCACATAATCCCAGGACATTTGCAACCATCATAAATATGAGTCAGTTGCTAAGCGTCTGAATTTTGATCATGTGACCATGGGGATGCTGCAATAGTTGTAAGTATGAAAAATGGTCATAAATCTCTTGTTTCAGTGCCATTGTAACTTCAAAATGTCACTACAGTCCACTCAAAAAAGTGCTTCTTACAAACTAAATAATAGATGAGGATTACTATTTACCCTATACAGTAGATTTTGATTATCTTGGGTGTGGGGAAAATACATCAGCAGTCCCTATAATATAATATTCTGTTCTGTTAATGTAATCATCTCTAACCAGATACTTATCTTCCTTAGTTATCCAGATCAGGGTGCAGTAGAAAAAAATATTTCACATTACAGTTCCATTTTTACTGTTGTTCAGTTGGTTCTTACCTGATACGCCCCTTCTCTGGGGAGGTGGAGACAGCGGTCATGCATGGGTTAACTCAGCCAGTAACCAATAGGACTGAGTCTACCAAAGTGATGTCATTGCCTCCCACTTTCTTGTCAAAGGAGATAAGTAGATGGCTGTGTGCTATTCGATTGCTCTCAATGCCTTGATGCTCCAGCATTTCTTCCAGAACTCCCTCTGCGAACTAGGCCAGATCCTTAAAGGGTGGGGATGACGCTGTCTCCAACTGCCCAGAGAAGGGGCGTATCAGGTAAGTACCAATGTCCCATTCTCCAAAGTTGGTGGAGACAGCAGTCATGCATGGGACGTACCAAAGCTAGGCCTGTCCCCGGGTGGGAATGAGACTGGACTAGGAGCTTGTAGAGGGAAGAACTTGTTGAAGAACCCACCAACCGAATGCCGCATCCGCCGAAGCGTGTCTATCCACCTTATAATGGATAAAGGGAGTAGTAGTAGTCCAGGTGGCCGCCTTGCAGATCTTCTCCACTGAGGCCTGCGCCGTGATGTTGGATGGAGTGAGGTGATGTGCCAGGTAAGCTCTTGAAATGGCAGATCGAATCCAGCGCCCAACCATAGATGAAGCTTTTAGCCCCTTATTTGTGGGATGGAAAGACACGAAGAGAGCTTTCGTGTGCCTGAAGAATACCGTCTTGGCGATATAGATCTTAAGAGCAAGTCTTACGTCTAACCTGTACCATTTGCGTTCAAGTCTGTGAGAAGGATTAGGGCAGAAATTTGGAAGAGTGAGGTCTAGAGATCGATGAAAAGCCGAATTTACCTTTGGAACAAAGGTGGGATCAAGGCGAAGGACCACATGGTCCGGGTGAAATACACACAGGTCCGATCGGATTGAAAAGACCTCCAGTTCCGAGATCCGTCGTGCTGACGTGATGGCCACCAAAAAGGCTGTCTTCAGTGTAAGGTGATGCAATGAGACTGACATGAGAAGCTTGAAGGACGATTGAGTGAGAAACTCAAGTACTTTGGCTAGATCCCACGAGGGGAAACGGTGTAGACGCACTCTTAATGAAGCGGCAGGCATAAGGGTGCAAGGAGAGGGATTCATCTCGGTGAAGAGAGAGAACCGAAGAGAGAACCGACACCTGTAACTGAAGAGTGTTTGGCGAGAGCCCTTTATCAAGCCCTGTTGCAAGAACTCCAAAACCTGGGCAACTGAAGCCTCCAGGGAGATGGCATCTCAAGAAAGGCACCAAGTAATGAAAGTCTGCTATGTTGATTCGTAGATTCTGTTAGTGGTGGCAAGAAGCCTGAATAGTTCGAATTACAGTCTCAGAAAGGTTAGCCACCCTCAAGACCGCCCGCTCAGCCTCCATGCGGTTATGCGAAGCCAGGACAGGTCGGGATAGTGAATGGATCCCTGATGAAGAAGGCACGTTATCATCTGAAGATGCCACGCTGGGCCTACTGAGAGATTGATGAGGTCCTCATACCAGGGTCAGCACAGCCAATGAGGGGAGATTAGGATGAGCTAGGCCTCTTCCTCTATCATTTTCCAAATCACCCTCTGTATCAGGGGGAAGGGAAGGAAGGCGTACAGGAGACAGTGAGGCCACCTGCACCCTAAGGTGTCCATCCCTTCCGCGCCTGGTGTCTTGTAACGAGACAGATACCTGGGCAGCTGCATGTTGGATGCTGTTGCGAATAGATCTAGCACCGGAGTCCCGTACCTGGATGACAGCTGTTTGAAGATGCGCCGGTTCAGGCTCCACTCTGCAGGATCAATTGTTGTGCGGCTCAAACAGTCTGCCCGGGTGTTGTGGGTGCCCGAGATGTATTCGATGTGGAGAGAGAGAAGATTGGCCTCCACCCAGATCCCTAGGTGAAAGGCAGACTCCATGAGAGATACTGGCCTTGTCCCCTCTTGACGTGCGCCTTGGCCGTTGTGTTGTGTGTCCGAATCAGCACGTGTGTGTTGCGAAGTGAGGATTGGAAATGAAGGAGAGCCAGATGAATGGCCCTCAACTCTAGCCAATTCATACTTTGGGAAAGGTCAGAATTGGACCAGAGACCCTGAGCCACTTGATCCTCCAGGTGAGGGCCCCATCCCGTTAAGCTCGTGTCTGTTGGAGACATTGGAGACATGGAGGTTCCTTGAAGAGGGATCCACGAGAAATGGCCGGGGAAATCCACCAGTCCAGAGATTGGATTACCTCTGGAGTCAACCTGACTTTCACTAGCGAACAGCTGCTGTTGGTTTTCTGGAATGGCAGAAGAAACCACTGAAGGCAGCGGCTGTGAAGCTGTGCCCAAGGAACAATGGAGAAGCATGAGACCATCTTCCCCAGCAATTGAGACAGCTGGAGAAGAGGGACCAGCTGTCTCCTCTGCATCTCGTTGGCCAAGTCTCTGAGTCTGATCTGGCATTCCCGAGACAGGAAGACCTTCCCCTGAAAGGAATCGATAAGGACTCCTAAGTGTACTATACGTGAGGTGGGGACAAGGTGACTCTTCTCCTGATTGATGGAGAATCCCACCCCCTGAAACACCTGTAAGGTGTCCTGGAGATCCCGAAGAGCATGGTTGTGTGACCTGGACAACAAGAGGATGTCGTCCAGGTAGCACATGATCCGAATGGGTCTGGCTAGCAAGTGGGTTGCTACGACTGACAGGAGTTTGGTGAAAACCCTTGGGGCTGATGACAGCCCGAAGGGGAGGGCCCGATACTGAAAGTGACGGCCTGCATAGACAAAGCGTAGGAACCGTCTGTATTGCCTGTGAATGGGCACGTGGAGGTAAGCCTCCGTGAGGTCCACTGATGTGAGGAGATCGGGTTTGCATACACTCTCTAGGATTGACAGGAGAGAGTGCATTTTGAATCTCCTGTACCTGATAAATCGATTTAGAAATTTGAGATTGAGGATTGCTCTCCAGTCCCCTGAAGACTTTGGCACGATAAAGAGACTAGAGTAAAACCCGCACCCCACCTGACCTGGAGGCACAGGTTGAATAGCCCGAATGTGGAGCAGATGATGGATGGCCTGCTCTCCTAGGAGCCTCTTGTGAGGATCCCTGGAAGTAGGGCATGTGACAAAGTGGTTTGGAGGGTTGAAGAGCAAGTCCAAGGAAAGGCTGAATCTGATAGTGGACCTGACCCATGCGTCATTGGTGATGTCGTCCCAACGATCCCCGAAGGTTGCCAGACGTCCCCCGATCGGAAGATCCTCCAGGCAGTCACTTCTGTCTCTTATAGGGGTGGTTGGTATTGTCCCTGAATGACTTTCTGGGGTGGAATCTCTGGTTGTTTCTGCCTGATCTGTTGGAGAAGGAGGGGCCCTGTCTGGGAGGAGCCTGATGTTGCAGATGGGAGTTGGATGAACCCCCGTCCTGACCACGAAAGGGCTGCCTACGATAAAAGGACTGATTCCGATCCTCCTGCTTCTTAGTGGCTGGTTGCAGGACCTTCCGCTTATCCTTGGACTCTACTAGTAGAGGTTCTAAAGTAGGACCAAAGAGAAGGGAGGAAGAATACGGAAGGAGGCAAGCCTCCACTTGGCTCAGTCTTCCGCCTGCCACGGCATCAGCCAAAGAATATGGCGGGTGGTGATAGAGGATGCTATGGTTTTGGATACGAGCCCTAGAATCCCCAGCCAGAAGTGTCCCTTGAAGTTGTCTTAGCCATAAGAGAGCACAGCGACTAAAGAAAGAAGCAGAGGTAGCTGCCCTGATGGCCCAGGCCGAAGCCTGATGTCCCTTGACCAGAGTTTATTCTATTCACTTGTCTTCAGGGCGAAGAGCTTCCTCATGAGCTGCCAAGGCTGCATTAGGAGAGGAGAGGCTAACTATAGGTAAATCAATAGAAGATACCTCTAGAGCCTTGGTGAGTTCTGGTACCACTTTACACAGCCATTCGTCCAAGGTATTGGGAAGGGGGCCTGTACCTGGTGATGCCCATTGGTTCTGGACCACATCTATGAAGAGTCTGGGCGATGGAATCACCTCCTTTTCCACCTTAGGCTGGATGAAGAAGGGGTAAGTGGTGTCAGTCTTGTCCGTTCCCATTCCCTGAGGAGTCTTGAGTGAAGGGATGCCAGTGATCTTCTTGGCCTTAAAGAGAAGAGACTGAAAGACAGCAGGTTTAAAGAGACCAACAAAGGTAGGAGATTCGGGGGGAAGGCCCCCGTCTTCCGAGAGATCTGAATCTCTTGAGGGTATTCCTCCTCTCTGAAAACCGATGGTTGACTGGACATGCCAGGTAACTCATGCGATAAAGAAGCCGAGCTATCACCATCCCTGCGTCTGGAACCAGAAGAAGAAGCAGACCTGTGTGGAGTGGAATGGTTAGACGACCTGTGTTTAAGTCCTGCTGCTATGCCTCGTTCGATGGCCTCAGATATGATATCAGCCATGCCAGGTGAGTAAGAACGGCGGCGGGATGCAGGAAAGATGTCCTCCTGGTAGAGGGGCTCCTCATCAGAAGTGACACTCCTGCCACCCTCTGATTCATCCCCACTGCAGGCCAGATCACCCGTGCCCTGGCTTCTTCAGGTTGGATAATGGATGCAGCAGGGGAAAGATCATTCTCTGAATCAGAAGACAGGTCAGGAGGAGGACTAGGATGAACAGACCTCTGAGGCTGAAACAGATTCTGTGTTTTTGGTCTTGCCTCTGGCTTTTTTAGGGAGGATGGCATTGCCATCCTCCCGAGAAGGTGGATTGGCTGTATTCCTGTGATTAGACCTGGGAGGCTTGGAAGGGGGCTCAGTGAGGGGAGCCTCTGGGGCAGGCCTGCGCCTATGGGTTCTGGATGGAGTGGGCTCAGTGGTGGGAGCAGGGGCCAAGGCAGGTGGAGGCACTTGTGGCTCATGGGCAGGAGAGGAAGCCATTGCTTGTACTCACGACTTGTTGTCTGAAGGAGAGAGTCAAAATGGCCACTGGAGCTTCTTTGTGCCAAAACAAAATGTCCGTTGAGGCTACAGAGCCTATGGGCCGGGCGCCATGAGGTAGCAGAAGCTGCAGAAGAGATGAGGGCATTGATGGCCCTGCGGAGAGGCTGCAGAGGTGATGGCGGCGGCAGCGGAGGTCTAGCGGCAGCAGGAGTGCTGAGTAGCGGCGGCCGTGTGCAGCGGTAGTTTCCCAGTGGCGGTGTTTGGTGGCAATGAAGAGCCAGCAGAGGCGGCATCACTGAGCGGAGCCTCCAATGGCCAGTGCTAGGCAGCGCTGCATCCAGGGAAGCCTTTGTAAGCCGCAGACAAGGTCAGGAGGGTGAAGCCTCGAAAGAAGCCCTGGCAGTCCCTCTCAGTAGCCCTGGGGCTAAGTGAGAGCCCTGGCTCCGAGAGGAGCTATCAGCCACGAGTCCTCCAACAGTAATTTAGAAGCCAATTTTTTTGAGGAAAGCCAATTAAAACCAATTAGAGTAGCAAATTCAGTATTTTTAAATAGATAAGTTGAGGAGAGAGCAATTAGCACAGCCAGTTCTGATTGAACTGAGTCTAAAAAAGCGGGAGGACACTCCTCAGAGGCGATGACATCACTTTGGTAGACTCAGTTCTATTGATTACTGGCTGAGTTAACCCATGCATGACCGCTGTCTCCACCAACTTTGGAGAAAAAGTAATACTATCAATCTTACCTCTTTATAGGATAACCATTGATAAGGCTGATTAGATTTCCTAAATCCTAAGCAGGGACCATTTTCTGGAGGGGAAAAAAAAACGACATCAGGAGTAGTTAAGTGTGATAAGCCATTTTCAAAGCTGCTTAATAATGCATTTCCTGTTGGCCTATGTATATCTCAGCAGGACAGCATATTTAAAAATAAACCAGTGCTGTGTCAGCCATCCAAGAATTTGTATCAAGGATCATCAAACACAAAGGACAGTTATCTTGACAAATGGGATTTTATTTTATTTTTACAATTCCAGCAATGCCAATTTTATTTTTGAAGTAAGACCCTCCTATGACATGAAGCACACCTACTCACTTAACATTTAGCTTTTTTTCTATAATATTACAATGTGTTAATCAAAATTGGCTTCCATTCTAAATAATATCCCATTGCTTTGGTATGTCCTATAAAATAATCAATATTCATGAAAACCATGGTAGAGCTGCTTTATGTCAGAAGGAGCGGTCATGACCTTTACTAGTTATAAAATTATTAAATTTTATTTAATTATACATTTTATTAAAATTTAATTAAATTCATACATCTAATTCGTCAGATGTATGAAATTAGTTGGAAAAGGTGCTATCAGACCCCATGGAATCACACAGCTCTTCTCCTGCACGTGTTAAGATATAATTGCTATTTATTAATTTGTGCATTCAATATTTATGCTATTACAGCAGTAAAATACCACGTGTATTGAAGGTCCTATTAGTCCTTCTAAACTAAGGTTACTAGTCCCTGTAACAGTCCCCATCATAAGTTCAGGTGCACTCAACAACAAAGTTTAACTGCCCCAAAGATCAAAGTATCATCTAAATACAGTTACTTTATCCAAGCATCTACATCTGTCCTCTGTAGTAGCTGGAGTTTCATAGAAAACAGTAACAATATTATTGCTTAAAAAAAATTCAGTATGATCAAATATTTTCTTTAAAAAACTTACCAGATATATTAAAACCCCTTCTAAAAACTTCATACATAGTCCTTGCATCATCATAGTAATGAGTTAGCAAATGGGCGTTGTCACCAATTACAGATCTCCGTGCACTATTCCTGCCCTACAATGAAATATAGGTAAGTTCATATCAAGAATCTATAAATGTGAAATAATACAGGTAGTCATCAACTTCAACAGTTCATTTAGTGGCTGTTCAAAGTTACAATAGCACTGAAAAAGGTGACTTATGATCATTTGTCACACTTATGACCATTGCAGCACATGATTTGCATTCAAATACTTGACAACTGGTTCATATTTATGACAGTTGCAGTGTCCTGAGGTCACATGATCTCCTTTTGTAACCTAATGACAAGCAAAGTCAATGAGGAAGCCAGATTCACTTAACAACCATGTTACTAATTTAACAACTACAGTGATTCACTTAAGAAATGTGGCAAGAAAAGTCGTAAAATGGGGCAAAACCTCTTAACAAATTTCATACTTAGCAACATAAATTTTGGGCTAAATTGTGGTAGTAAGTCAAGGACAATCTGTATACAATACAGGTGTATTACATCTGTATCAAGATCCTGATTCCAGTTTCTGGAAAGTTACAGAAGCCATTAAAATTGCACTTTGAAATAACAGAACCTTGCTTAATATTTTTTAGTCCTCGGACAAACTGAAATCTACATCCAAACTTGCAAAGATTCACCATTAGTAATTCTGAGCTTCCTTGCCTCTTAAATGTCCCTCCTGGTGTCAAAATATAGGCTGCAAGCAACTCAATGTAAGACAGTGGCTTTACATTTGTATTTTACAATATTATTCTGTAAAATTTGAGTGAGGAGACTATGTAAATATATCAATAATATTTTATTAATTACTAAGTTCGGTGTTAGAATATGTCCACAATTCCTTTGTTTTAAATGATGGGAATGCACTGCTAAAATACTTATGACAAGTAGATCTGTAAATATTTTTCCTTACTGTGCCTCAGGCAAACCCCCAAAGTACAAAGATAAAGTGAATTTATCTTTCCATCTGTGCATGGGCACGTATATATGAATTGGAATATATCTGATTTTATCCACACTCACATCCTCACCAAGGGGAAAAAAAAACCTTCAAATGTTGGTTGGCTCTCTAGGCTTATCTTTAATTTATAAAATATGAGGACTGTTAAATTTATCCATGATAATAGAATAAATATTTTTTTAAAAAAAATCATTCTGTTTGATTATTTAATTTTACATAGAGAGATTGTGTAACTCAGGAGAGGAAAATGTAACCAGGCTGAAGCATAGACCAATCTCCATTTTGATGCCTAAAAGATTCCCTCCTTGGACACTCCATGCCTACAGCCTGGGCTTTAAAGAATAAGCATTGTGGCATGGAGAGTCACAGGAATTGTTCAGTCAAGGAATTCCTCAATCTATCAGTAAATGAGGGGTATCTCCAGATAAACTCAAATTTTCAAAAGGTGGAATTGTAATACTATTAAGAAACTTAAATTCAAATATGATTTAATAAACTGGTTAAATAAATATGGTTGCAAATATTTGCAAAAAATTAGTAAGGAATGCAAAAGAATTTCAATGGAGTATCCTGAATTTGAATAGTGTTTCTAAAAATGAATTTTATCCCTTCAGATACTTTTCATTTAAAAATTGTACAATATTCCTGCAAGAATCAGTTGCATATATGAAATATACCCAGAAATGAAGAAATACAGTATCAAATAATTTGGAACTTAAAACTTAAAACAAATTCAAATATGATTACAGAAGGAGAAAATGTCCAGAAAAGTTGTCATTATAGACAAAACTCTGTGATATAGCATTTTGTTTTCAAAAAGGCCAATCAGCTTAGGTAACTGTTAAAAGGTGTACAAAATGTGAAGCTTTTCAAACTGGAAATGCCTTTTTTGAATTTGAATCAGTTGATTTGTATTGAAAACAATGCCAGGCTTAAAACACTTCCAGAAGGCCATTTTGAATACAAATGAAGGTTTAAAACGAAAAAACAATTCCTTCAAAATTGCTGAATTCGGGTCATTTCAAATTTAAATCATTCAAGTTTGAAATATTTTGCACTTCACTAATAGTTGCACTAAAATAAAGAAGATGCCTTTATGATTTATAATTAAAACATATGAGGATATATCCTATATTGCAATGCCATAGTTAAGAACTGAGGACAAAAAAACCTGGGTTCTAACTTCCACTCAAACTCAAAATTCTCTAGGTGAATGCAGCCAGTTACTCTCAGCCCAACCAATCTCTCAGTCTCTCATTTTCCTCAAGGAAAATGCCAGATATATCCTGGATTAAACAACCTAATTAATACAGCAAAAGCTCAACAACATACAACATACAACATACAAACTACAATTACTTCATTACTTCATGGGCAAGGAATATCTCAAAATAACATTTCTGAATAACCAAGTTAACCCTCCCAAGCACAATCAAATAATGTATGTGTACCATTTCCATAGGAAATGAAATACATTTTAAGTGAGGCAATAACGAAGATTCTCAGCTACTGTAAAAGGAATCTCAATAGCTTAATTAATTTGTTTTGTCTGTGCTTTTACAAATATGTCTCCAAGGATTATATAGCATATTTCAAACAAATAAATAACAAAAAAAAATCTTAAGAGAATTGATTGCATCATCCATGTTATTCAGGAAATCTACCCAGTAAAAACGTCATTAATATGTGCCATCTTTTTCAAAGAATATCTTCTTCAAAGGTTTTTTTTCCCTGAATAAAATTTCAATTCACCATATTTTGCTATAATTAACTGGATTATTAACTAACACCAAACTAATTTAAATGTTGATGTATTATTTGGATTACCATATTCACTAATATGATTTCTTCTAATAAGCAGAGAATAAGGGACATAACCTTAATTCATACAGTTTCACAGAGCTAACCTCACTCTTCTCCTGACAAGTTTTTCTCCTGAAAATCTTGCTAAGACAATATTTGAGTAAAGAATCAAGTCATCTATTAAACAGACAAATACATCATCACACAAGAATACACCCTATAAAATGCATACTATGAATCACTTACAGACTCTTTTCATGTACCTAAACATGAACTTCACATTTTGTAGAACAGCATGTCTCTCGCAACTAAGGTTCAGAAAAGCCTCTCGGGGTCAGCCATTGTACTAATTAGGTGGACAGGCCAGAATATTTACAAATATACTTTTGGATATTGTCAAAATATCAATGCAATAAACGGAACAGCATCTGCTAATAAAAACACTGCTAAGAAAAAGGCATGTTATAAAATGTAATTCTATCAAGATAATCCTCACCTCAATTTCTTCTGATTGCTTTAGGAGATCACATGGTGGTTTTACCGCTTTGGGACGATTGACAAGCCAATATGCAATAATAGCTGCAAAGGCACCAATGCCCACCAAAGTAGAAGCTGGCAGGCTTCGGAAAAACTGACTGAAGTCTTCAAATTCTGGAAGGCGTAAATTCCTTAGAATCTCTTGTACTTGCATTTTTTCAAAGACTGAAATGGCCACCTCTGCAGAATCCAAAGAAGAAATTAAGAAATTAAGTTGACAAAATCTAACAATTGCAGAGGAGAGAAAGAATGCTCCATAAGGTTGAAGGCCAAAATTCAACTTACAATCTCAGCACAATAAATCACAGTGCAATTGTTAACATTTTTCCCAGATTTAAATTAGTTAAACAGAAGACAAGGGGCTGACTTAAACATTACTTTTAAAATGGATTATGTGCCATCAAGTGGGTGTCGACTTTTAGTGATTACACAGATTTTCTATAGAAACTTTCAAAATAGGGATACAACATTCTATTCTGACATCTATTACAAGACAAGAAGCAATTGATGGAAACTAACCAAGAAGAGAAGAAACCTAGAACTAAGGAAAAATTTCCTGACAGTGAGAACAATCACCTACTAGTGGAATAGCTTGCCTCCAAAAGTTGCGAGTGTTCTGTGTTCTATGATTGGTTCTTTCAA